ATGGGCTCCGTGATGACTCCGCTCAAAGCTCGCTCAGAATGTCCTCTGCCGCCTTCTCCGCCGCCATGAATGTTGAAACGGCTGTGAACGTGCCCGGGATCCGGGGATAGACAGACGCGTCGACGACACGAAGCCCCTGCACACCACGCACGCGGAACTTGGAATCTAAGACCGCCATAGGATCGTCGTCAGCACCGATGGGGCAGGTGCTCGACGCATGGTGGCCCCAAGCTGTGTCCTTGATGTAGGTAGCAACCTCCTCGGCCGTGTTGACATCCTTGCCCGGGAGCCTCTCTTCGACGGGAACAAGCTGTCTCTTGAAGGCGTCGCGGGCGACACCAATAGCTTCGGAGATGGCCTGGATGTCGGCGTCGGCATCACCACTGCCGGTGTCGAAGAAGTTGTAGACAATTTCCGGAACGTCGAGGGGATCGGCGGAAAGGAGCTTCACCGTGCCAGCCGTGTTGCGGGGGTGGCCCTTGAGGATCGCCCATGTGTAAAGGTCAGGGTCGGACGTCGTATTGAAACTGTATCCTGGGAAGTATCCCTGGAAGTTTACAGGCCCTCCAAAGATGAACGTGTCCCAATCGTCGCCGGCCACCACTGAAGACTTGTAGAGCATGGCTACGCCAAGGCCTGACGAGGCATATGTCCCGCGGTTTCCGAGGACAGGCTTCTTCCACCTCTCGAGGCAGGGGTCATCCTGGTTACCACGACCAAATGTGCATCCCTTCAGCGCCGCGAAATCCGTCGGCGCTCTGCCAATGACACCAACCTCGTAATGATCCTGAAGGTTCGTGCCGACACCGGGTAGATCCGCGACGACCGGAATGCCGAAACTCTTGAGTTCGTCGGCGGGACCGACACCGCTGAGCTTAAGGATTTGAGGGGAATTGTAAGCGCCGCCGGCAATGATAACCTCCCGCGTGGCATTCACCGACCCGGGCTTGCCGGCGCCGGCGGTGCGAGAACGCGGGCTTGCCTTGTAGAGGTACTGGCCGTCCAGGAACTCGACACCTGTCGCACGTGGCGGGTCCTCAGCCTCGTCAAATGCAACCTTGGTGACGTGACAGTTCATGCGGACATCAAGGGGATATCGCTTGCTCCCATCGCCGTTCTTGGCGTCACGCACAGCGACGATGAAGTCTCGAGGCCCGATGCGCTTGCCATTGTCGGACGAGATTGGGGTCTGATAGTACCCGGGCCCTGTATCTCTACGGAGATTATCCGCGTTCGCGTCGCCCAGGAGTAGGCTGCCAATGTTGAAGACGGACTTTGTCAGGTTGCCGAGGGCGAATGCCCCGCCAAGGAACAGGCTCAAAAGTTGGGGATCGGCCAACGGAATGGTCAGTGGTGCCGTTTCCGTGTCGAGCCACCCGTCGTAGCCGTGTCCGGGAATCAGGGGTAGAAGATAGCCGTTGTTTTCCATTTTGACAAAGTGTTTGCGCATGTTCTTCGCTGACCATGATTGATCACCCGTCAAACGCGCGATGTAGTCAAAGTCGGACTGGAAAGGGTACAGCGCAATGAGGGCGTTGTGGGCAGTGCACCCACCTAGGGTGCCTGTTCGTGGATATAGGGTGCCCTTGATCTTGGACCCTGTAGGGGGGTCAAGTCCAGTGTAGAGGCTGCCATCTGGCGTCTCATAAGTGGTCTTGAAGTCCCTCGCTTGCCTCTCATCGTCGGCATAGTGCCGTACGAAGAAGTCCCAGGCCATAGCTCCGTCTTCCGATGCCCTTGCTGAGTACGATGGCACGGTATAGTTTGTGCTGAGACCTTGGTCATCTCCGGCCTCGATCAGCAAGGTCTTGTGTCCTGCCAGGGCAAGCCGGGCGGCCAGCGGCCCTCCTCCAGCCCCTGATCCGACAATAACGTACTCGTAGTCATCGAGAGTTTGCGCGAGCACCAACGAGGTGCCCAAAAGCGGGAGGAGATGTCCGAGCCTCATGGTGGCGGGCGGTCAAAACGAATTTGGAAGTGTAAAGGAGTAGGAGGAGACCTGGGACGGACTTCGTGCCTTCTTGCTCCAAACCATCACAACTTAAATCTTTTCTCTAACAACGGGGCAAATCTGTTGAGAACGAAATGACCATGTCGATCTTCGGTGCCACTAACGCCGATGCACGATGTGACGTCTGGCGCGGGGGAAAACCTGGAGTTCAGGGGTGCTAGCTCGCGGCTTCTTGACTGCCGTGCGCTGGCGCTGGGGATATTGGGTCTTGGCGATGCTTACGGCTATCGGGAATGTCAAATTGTCAGGAAAGATAATGTGTCTGACTCGACCTTAACTTGTCTAGGCATTCCGGGAGGAGCGTGTCGACGCAAGACGCTGAACAGGTCAATTGCATGACAATGCGGGTTTTCAGGTGGACGAGGCCTGAGTGTTGTCATTGAACGCCATCTGCACAACATGCTCAAAGCACCCGTCTAGGGCGGTTTTGGCGTCACGCATTGCTTTTGCTCGTGTCCCCGGCCTCACACGTTGTCCAATGTCATCCCATGTCCTTCACCCTTACTTCTAGACAAATAACTAGATTCGGTAAGCCATCACGCTCAGCACCCAAACTCCGACGGGGGCCGGGGATCGAACTGCTTCCGTCAACTGATTCGTCGTGGCCAAATCGTAGCTTAGAATGTTGCTCGGTAGTCAACCTTCATATCTTAGTGTAGTACCACAGATCAGCTGGACGTTACTCAGCTGGCGATCTTACCTCTAAACTGATAACCACAGCCCCTGAGCCCCCTATGAAAACTAGGTAGCGTTACCCCGCATTTGTCGAGAGACAGGTGCCCGAAGCGCTGAGCCGAGGCCTGAGCGAGCGATTCGAGCTGTTGTGCTTGCGATCTTGTCGACACCTGGACGTCAAAAGCATGTGCTCATGGCCAAACTATTGGCATTTAGCTCGATCAGCATGCGGCATGGGCAGCAATCACCAATTCAGTACTTTTCCCTTGGGCCGATGTCCCCTGGGGAATGCCTTGGGGTGGGAAGTCCCTTGCCAGTGACCCAATCAAGTGTCATTGAAAAGGTAACACGCAGCACGGTGTTCGGTCATGTGCCATAGGATAGGTAGCCTTTTTTTGCCTTATAGACAATGCCCACTCGTCCGCCAATGTCATGAATACCTCCAACTACCTTAGGATAGAGGTCTGTCTCGAGAGAGACGAGCGATGGTGCTGGTTTGGAGACTGAGACAACTTGGTCGATGATGTAATTGTGGCAGAAGTCCCCACACCCACAGTTGACCGCATTTCCACGCAAAATACCAGAACCCTGAAGCCCACCACATTCACGCCGTTCCTCTCACATCATCACGGAGAACGATAATCCAGGCTCATCGTTGTACAAAAAGAGAAGCTACTCACCCGGAATCATGCTCAAAGCTGGAATCGTGGTTGTGGCACTTTTGGCCACAGTCTTCCAGGTCTTCCTGAAGGATGCCGTCTGGATGGGCCTTGGCATCGGCAAGACCATCCAACCTCTCTCCGACTTTCCATACACCTGCCGACGCATTGAAGACCCTCGACTGGAAGCATGTGAGGATATGTGGCTGTCCGAGACAACTCGACAATTGTTCCTTGCCTGCTCAGATTCAGACAGCCGGTCTAAATGGATCCCGAAGTACGTGTTGACCGCCTTGCCTATGCTCACCATTCCAAGCCCGTGATTCGCGTTATCTGCCTTCAATACCGATCAACAGCTTTCCGAAAGCCCACTGACCAGAATCTAGCGGTGGGAAGTATGACCCCTCTGGACAATCCCAGAGGGATGCTATTGTTGCCCTAGATCTTGACCTCCCCCATCTCGACGCGTCCAGCGTTCGCGTTCTCAAGACTGAGGGGTATACCGGCACCGCTGGAGACCGCCTGCTGAACCTTGTTGGTTTTACCGGCTTCGAGTCGACTGAGAAGGGCGAGGATAAAATCACATTGTTCGCCGTGAACAACCGCCCTCCCCTCGATCTGCGGACGGGGAAACCGAATATCAACCCGGGTCAAGTAGGAGCCAATTCCACAATCGAGGTCTTCGAGACCAGCGCCGGCGCCGCTTCCTTAAAGCACATCCGCACCTACGCCAATGATGCCATCGCGACACCCAACCGTGTGGCCGCTCTCGCCAAAGACCTATTTACTTTACGAACGACCACGGACAGGACAAGGTTGGAATCGTAAGTGTTTATTTTTTTGTTCTTGATTGGAGACATAGTCCAAGGGCAGTACTGAACTCTCCATCCTTAGAAGCACCAGTTGGGGTTCATCCTCAAGACAGGCGACGTCAATGTTTGCACTGCAACTGGCGGCTGCAGAAAGATCGCCGCCAACTCAAGTTTCCCAACGTCTCGCTCTCGGTCGCGATGGACTTCTCTACGTCCCAAGCGTCGGTACAGGTGGAATTCATGTCTACAGGATTCTCGAGGACCACAACATCAAGCATGTTCAAGAGATCAAAACCGGATATAGCATCGACAACCTCTCTGTTGATCAGCATGGCGACATTTTCGTTGCTGCATTTCCAGTCGCCTTCGACATGCTGAAGGCTTTCGATGACCCGCGCAACTCTTCTCCAGCCGCCGCTGTACTGCGCGTGAGCAAGGGTGAGAAAGGATATACCGTCGACAAAGTGCTTGAAGATGCGCGCGGTGAGGTGCTTCCTGCGGCTACGACGGCTCTTCATGATGCCAAGACGGGCAGGCTTTTCCTGAGCAGTGAGTCATTGGCTAAGAGCACTGCTTACTTCCGCTTGCTGACGTCTTCAGGTGTCATTTCACCCTTCATCGCCGTTTGCGAGCCAAAGCGGTAAGATCCGCGGGCTCCAAAAGCACTCGAATTCTCATAGTTGTATATGAAGCACCGGCTCAAAGGCTCTGTACGTATTATGAAATCGGGTGTTAGCCATCGACCTGGTTGTGGACATGACGTGAAGATCGTCGCTTCCTTGGCCAGCACGACACCTATACTTAGAATAGAAAATCTGGAGCACCTATGAATGAAGATCTTCTGGTGGCCAGGCGAATCCATGAAATCCTATCAGCTCCCTTTGAACTTGATCAACAAGGGATGCTGGTCCCGGCTGTAGCCGCAATAGACGCCCTGGCAGCACCTTGGTCGTGCGCCTACGGCATCGTCGCGTGCATTGTGTCGCGCGCCTGTCACGATTGGCAAGATTCTCTACCCGCTACGGGTTGGTAACGCCGTGAAGGATTTGAGGGCTGAAAGCGGGCTGTAGGTGGTTATGACGTTTTGCTGAATCCTCCTAGGTGGTAGCTGCGGGTGATGCAGATCGACACTCAATCGGTCGCTGCAGGGTCCCGGTCCCGAAGCAGGGCAGTGCTGTGCAATCGCCACGATCCTTCAACTGCAACACTGCGGGGGGTTTGATTGGTGTTAATCTGTCATCGTGCGGTTGGCCCTGAAAGCTTAGGTTTTTGATCTCCGAACCTTAACTCTGCTTGGCTGAACTAACCACAAGGCTCGAGATCTGCGTCGGAAGCTTGGTAGGAGGCTTGATAATTATAGCGACAGTTCGAATGACTTCGGTAATCAGTGGGTTCAGTACGCCCCCGAGCGACGTCAGTTGCATTGCTGGCTCACGAGACATGGTGAACACCCATGTTTTGTGACGGCACCATGGAAGACGCAGCGATTTTGGTTTCTGAGCAGATGTATAAAAGCATGCGTCCTCCTCTGTTGTCTGATTGAAGTACTATATCACAATATCAACCGCAGTTCTCAAATCAAAATCCATCCAAACGATTAAGATTCATTACTCCGTCATAAAATACCCTTGAAGCACTTATCACCATCATGAAGTCCACCTCCATCCTTGCTTTAGCCTCAACGGCCTCGGGCGCAGTCATTTCGCTCAATGCTCGGGATGATGCTACCCACATCCAAACCCGCCAAGCCCAAAACGTACAGGAGGGTCTCAATGCATGCACCGATAAAGCCATTCCCTGCACGGTAAGACGCCTTTCAATGAACAGAGATTTGATAGTGATACTAAACAAGTACGGTAGATTGTTTCAGCATCCACGGAAAAGGTGAACTATGGATCGAAGAATCCTCGCGACATCGCAGATCAGTAAATAGTACCCTAGATTGCCATGAAGAACTATAAATCTAACCAACTCACAGGCTCTGGGAGAAGTGTCTTGAAGGAGGCTGCAACGTCGAGGGATGGGACGAAGACACGGAAGTTGCCTCTGGTCTTGGGCCTACCGGGGATACACTCAACGTCCTAGCTCACGGTAACTGGCCCCCAGAGTTCCGTCACGGCCTTGTGTGGGGCATGACCGAGCTGGTCGGTGGACTCTCAGAGCCCTACCGTATGACAGCAGATCGACCACCTGTCAGGGGAGAGGGTGGCAAGGTGGGTATTGATGCCTTCAAGGCCCCCAAGAACTTCCATATCAGCCGATACGCCTGGGATGACGACCATTGGGAGAGTCAGGCATTCATCAGTCTATCAGCCTCCATGGAGGATGCTGGGTCCTCAACTTGCGAGGCACTCGTTGGTGCTTTGGAGACCGTCATTGGGGCTTTCAATGACAACATCGGGTCTCTTATTGGTGCCGCCGAGCCTGCTTGCGGTGCTACTGGCTAAGAAACATGATGCAAGCCTATCTAGGCATCCTTTCTGATGTACAATAAGAAGCCTTCGCCATTAAATCTTTTCAGCGAGCCATGATTGATCGTGAATGAAATTGTGTTTGACGTAAGCTGCACCATTCAGGTCTCTTCGGCTTGAGCTAGTTGTTCCATTGCCTCTTCATCCAGTCTGAGCGTCACCCAATGTTCCATCCGCTTTGCTCCAAGACTGTCGTAAAATTTCAAAGCGGGCTCGTTGCTTCTGTAGCAATTCCATTCCAATTTTGTGCCACCCAGCTCCTGAGCCTCAGTGACCAACCTCTTGATTAAAAGACCTGCGTATCCCCGACGCCGGTATCTTTTCGATACAAAGAGTTCCTCAAGGCAAATACCTGGCTCAGCCGACCACGTAGAGTAGTTGTAGAAGAAAATAGCCATTCCAGCTATGTCTCCTTCGGGAGAGATAAGTAAGAGAGTCTTTGCGAAGCCTGGCGTAAATGAAGGTTCCCTTCTCACATCTTTGCTGGACTCGATGAAGCTCAGCGTATCGAGAAGTTTCGTCTCTGTGAGCTTCGGCTTACTTTCAGGGTCCTGCTCACTGGATCCTTCGCGAAGAAAAGAGTAGATTGTCGGGACATCTAAAAATGATAGGAATGATCAGTACCAAAAGCCTTTTGTCCTGGGTTCTTGACCATCAGTAAGAGCTGATCACCTTCTCGAGTGGCGAAACGGTAGCTACATTGGGTTGCCATACCGCCAAGTAGTCGACCGACAATACAGATTTCATAAGTTATTTTGGAACCTTTGGGGCCGATTTGGACGACAGATGTTCGTTGCACCTCGAAAGCACGTCCGCAAAACCCCATCCATCATATGACCGGTCGCCGACATACCCGCTCCGGCTGAGTGGCCGATGGACCCCGCACATGACAAGATACTTCGAGCCAGAGAGCTAGTGTCAAGTCTGCTCACGCTGCCGCAGCTGTACTTCTGATGTGTGGTTTTGCCAGGCACGTAGTGCCGGCTCAACCCCGTGGCGCCGACCCTCGTCCTCAATCACCCTCCGAAGTGTTTCTTCATCACCTGTTGGAAGGACACGCTGGCCATATG